CAGTGGCAGCCCCTAATCGAAAGCCTGGTGGAAGAGCTCCGTTTTACAGGCCCTGCAGAACTGTAAAAGGTCCCGCAGAGCCCTGATGTTCTCCAGGAGCTCATTCCACCAGGTTGGGGCCGCCACTGAGAAAGCACTGGTTCTGGTGACATTCAGCCTGGCTTCTTTCGGACCAGGGAGGGTCAGGCGATGTTGCGACCCTGACCGCAGTGCTCGCTGGGGCACATATGGGGAGTGGCAGTCCCTCAAGTAGGCAGGCCCCTGACCATGTAGGGCTTCAAAGGTTAGCACCAGCACCTTGAACCGAATCCGGTACGCTATAGACAGCCAGTGCAGTGTCCTCAGCACAGGCTGGATGTGGTCCCGTATAGAGAGACCCAACAGCCTGGCTGCGGCATTCTGCACTAGCTGCAGCCTCTGGATCTGGGACAAGGGCAGCCCCATGTAGAGAGCATTGCAGTAGTCTAATCTTGAGGTGACTATTGCATGGATCACTGTTGCGAGGTCATTGCGTTCAATGAAAGGAACCAGCTGCCTGATCAGCCATAGGTGGTAAAAGGCCGCCTTGGCAGTGGCTGCTACCTGGGCCTCCATTGTTAAGGAGGCATCCAGGAGCACTCCCAAGCACCTGACCCTTGGCACTGGCACCAATGGCGCCCCATCGAAAGCTGGCAATGGAATCCCTACCCCCGACCCGCTCCGACTCAAGCACAGGACCTCCATCTTCGTTGGATTCAGTTTCAGTCGGCTCAGTCTAAGCCAGCCCGCTACATCCTGAAGCACCCGCTCCAGGTAATTTGGGTTGGAGCCGGACCGCCCGCCCAACAACAGATATAGCTGGGTGTCATCAGTGTACTGGTGACACCCCAGCCCGTGCCTCCAGACAATCTGGGTGAGGGGGAGCATATAGATGTTAAACAACATCGGGGATAGCACCGCCCCCTGCGGCACCCCACACAGCTTCTGGGACATCTGCTCCCCTAGTGCTACCCTCTGTCCCTGACCCTGGAGAAAAGAGGCAAGCCAGTGGTCTCTTTAAATGCCTTCTCATAGCTGCACCCAAATAAAAGCCAAATAATATCAGCTTTTATTTGGGTTTGGCTATATCTGTAGCCGAAAAGAAACTTTTAATTTCTTTTCAGCTTAAAAAAGACTGAAAAAAATACCAGTAAGGTATTTTTTCAGGGTTTTTTTGTTTGTTTGGGTAAACTGAACACACACCCCTTGTGGGAGCCTTCCTGACCTCCTCAGGCACACCATTCCATAAGGTGGAGGCCACATTTTCAGGCTGGCACATGCAGAAGGCCCTGCATAGGAGAAGAGGTGGTCCTGCAGATATGAAGGACCAAGGCCATGAAGGGCTTTGTATTATGATAGCCAATACCTTGAACTGAGCCAGTAACTGATGGATAGCCAATGGAGGGACTGCAGAATTGGCAGAATATTCATACTCCTTGTAGCTCCCGGTAATAGTCAAGCTGAAGCATTCTGCACCAACTGGAGGTTCCAAATTGATTTTGAGGAAAGACCAATGTATAGCGTATTACAGTAGTCTAGTGTCAATGTTACTATGGCAGGGAATAAAGTGTCCAAATCAGCCGTATCAAAATAAGGAACCATTTTTCAAGCTAGGCTGAGTTGGAAGAAACCTTTTTTTTTTTTTTGCAACTGCATTAACTACCGTAGCTTCTCCAGCAATAATGCTGGGTCTAGTATAACCCCAAGACTCTTAAACTAGTTGCCAAAAGCTGAACCCCATCAAAAGTGGGGCGCATAATGTCCTCCAATACCTCCACCTTTCCAACCAGCATTACTTCTATCTTCCCAGAGTTTAACTTCAATTTGTTCACTCTCAGACATTTAACCACAGCAGCCAGGCAGCAACTTAGGACCTCTGGTGCATCACCAGGAGATTTGGATAAGGATATATATAGCTGTGTATTGTCTGCATATTGATGACAGGCAAAGCTATGAATGATTTGGCTTAAAGGCTTTACATAGGAGATTGAAAAGATGCAGGATAGAACTGCGCCCTGTGCAAACCCCCCCAGGATAGGTCCCACACTGACAGGTGGCTTCCAATAGCAACTCTTAGGGTTCAATCTGTGAAGAATTATTTCAACCAGTTCAATACACTCCTGCCTCCAAGTGTTTCAACAAGCCAGCACAATCTACTATATCAAAGGCTGCAGATAAGTCCATTAATAGCAACAAAGAGGTATGGCCTTTGCCTATACTCAGTCAGAGGTCATCAACTAAAGTTAGCAGAGCCATCTCTCTTCCACTACCTGAAGCCAAATTCAAAAGGGTCCAGAACAGATGAGTTATCCAAGAATGCCTGGAGTTAGTCTGCTACTGCTCTCTCTATCTCTTTTCCCAGAAAAGGCAGATTAGAGACTGAGTGATAATTGGCCATTTCATTTTTCTATATGGTTTTTTAAGTACCGGACAGATAAGTGCCTCTTTGAGTGCTCAAGGGAAGGTGTACTGAGATAGTGACTGATTTACAATCGATATTAAAGGCTCAGTAATGTGGCCCTTACTTGATTTTAACAGCCAAGATGAGCGAGGATTCAGAGCACAATTAGTGGCCTTCACAGATCCCAGGATCTTGTCAATATCCATCACAAAAACTGGGTAAAAACAGTCCATAAATAGACCAGGTGGTGCATTAGCCCTTTCTTTTGGTGTACTTATATTACAACTGACAACCAGATCAGAGTCTATTCCCAACATTACCTGTTCTGGGGATAGTAAAGGCTGAGATTTAGACATTGGCAGATGCTGAGCTACCTTGAACAATTGAGATGGTTATGAACCAGCTGATGCTCTAGTAGCACAGAGGTAACATTTGTTTTTCCTACATGCCTCCTGGTTAGAGGAAAGGGAATTAATGCCAGAGCACAACAATATGCAGAAATTCAGTAGACGGCACCTTCTACAGAGGATGTTTTGAGCATGCAAACACTATTTTTCTCGTCATACTTTTTGTGAATTTTTATTATGAAAAACTGTAAAGGGAGGAGGTCATTTCTCCTCCACATACATTTCAGTCCACCACCTCCAGAAGCCATTCTTGAAAATGCATACAGTTTAAGAGAAGCTTTATTATTACCTTCCAAATGTAAACATGAAAGTTCCCATTATCAAAATAAGAATTCCCAAGGACGTAAGAGGGGGGAAATGAAGTCCTATCTGCTTGGGGGGAGGGGGAATTGGGATCTAAGCAGGCAAAAAAAGGTCAGATACTGAGTGCTTTTCGAAGTCAAAGTTCATATCTTCAGAGAGAAAAACAAGAACATCTAAAAGATCTTGAGGTCCTACAGGGCAGTATGCAAAACTTCACTGCAAAGGTAGAACCTGCCCTAACCATTTTAAACAAGCAAGCCTTTTATTCAAGAACTTTCCTACCCACAACATTCAAATAAAAACTGGCATACACAGTGATCACTATTCTAGCTGTTTAAGAGAGAAACCCCTTCCCCAATGATATACTTCCTTGCAGTCCCCATCACAGTAAGCAACAGCTCAAAGCTTTCCTGCTCCACAAAGTACCAGATTTACAGTGCAATCCTACAAACACTTTCCTGGGAATAATCACCCCTGAATAGACCTGAAGTCCAGTAACACCTTAAGGACTAAAAAAATTGAGGCAAGGTATGAGGTTTTGTGAGTCACCGCTCACTTCTTCAGATACTACAGACAGACTAACACGCAGCCCCGTAGCCAGAAATTTCTTCCGGAGGGGCTCTGGGGCACCGCTAATTAAATTAAATATGCCTCCAGGCCTCTTTGGGGCGGGGCAGTGTGAAGGGCAGAGAGGAGCCATGTTCAGAGAGACACCCTGCATTCTCACCTGCCCCCGCCAGCCGGGGAACCTTACCCTGCAGATGGTCTATTCCTTTCACTGCCCTCTCCTCCATGATGCATGGGCTCAGAGGCACTCCCTCCCTCCCTCTCCATCAGGTTGCTCTTGTCTACCCCAGCGCCTTCAGAGAGCGTCTCTTCCCTTCCCATGGCCATTGGAGGCTGGGTGGGCATGCGGGTCCCAGCGGCGAGCAGGCAAGTGAGCGCCCAGGCCCAAAAGAGTGGCTGGGTTGGCAAGGGCGTGTCCAGCTCAGCTGGCATCAGGCAGCCCCTTAAATAGGCACTGGAGCAGAGCCAGCAGTGGTGGGCTGTGGAGCTGGCTTGCTTGCTGGCTCTCCGGTAGCCCCAATGTGCTGCCACCAACCGGCGCCCAAGCAGAGGAGGAGGAGGAGGAGAAGAAGAAGAAAAAGAGGAGATTGGATTTATACCCCGCCCTTCACTCAGAGTCTCAGAGCGTCTTACAATCCCTTTCCCTTCCCCTCCCAACAAAAGAAACCCTGTGAGGTAGGTGGGGCTGAGACAGCTCTTTCTAGAACTGCTCTTGAGAGAGCAGCTCTGACAGAACTAGGCATTGCCCAAGGTCATCCAGCAGTTGCAAGTCAAGGAGTGGGGAATCAAACCTGGTTCTCCCAGATGAGAGTCCACACACTTAACCACTGCACCAAACTGGCTCTCAAGGTGGTAAGATAGAGTGGTGGGGCTCCACCTTAATCGTGGAGCTCTGCCCATAAAGCCCCACCACTGGCTACAGCCCTGGCTAACATGGCTACCCATCATGAATAGATCTGAGTAGGATTTACTTAGATTTTTTCCCTGTTTCTCCCCAATGGGAACCCAAAGCACCTTACATCATTCAAACCCCCTATGATGCCCCCATCCACTTCCCGCCCTTAGAGGCAAGATTTTCCCTCTGTTTTTCTTTCCCTTTTGTGACTGAGCCACCCTAGTTATCTGTTTTCTCCTTTCCTGAAGAATTCTGGTTGTCCTACCCTGTCAGAGTAGAATATTTTGGATGTTTGCTCAGCCCAGGAACCTGAAGGAAGGGATGGGAGCCCTCTTTAACTTATGCGACTTAAATGGCACTCAAGAAGTTTTTATATTCCATATTAACAAAATTAGGGGTAAAATTTCTGAGGTAAAGCCAAGTTTGAGTCCAGTGGCACCTTTAACTTTGTTCTGCTGCTTCTGACCAACACGGCTACTGACCTGTACATGCACAGACTTCAGTTCTTTTGTTTCACGCTAATGAGAGTTTCCTAAGCTATTCAATGTTACTTAAAATCCTTATGTTGAGAGGGTTTTGTTCCAGTGTTTCCCCCAAACACTTCAGTACACTTTCTTTCAGGGTTCTCTGACTCTTTTGGTTTACAGAAGGCTGGTACACGCTTTCCAGTACCCAAGGTAAAGGTAAAGGTTCCCTTGCTCGAAAGCCAGTCGAATCCGACTCTAGGGTTGCAGTGCTCATCTCCGTTTCAAAGCCAAAGAGCCAGCGCTGTCCGAAGAAGTTTCCGTGGTCATGTGGCCGGCATGACTAAACACCAAGGCGCACGGAACACTGTGCCCAAACCCCTTCTCTTAAAACACCAGCACTCATCTTGAGTTTCAAACTGACTCTTAAGGTCTCTACAGGCAGTTTCTAACCACACTAGACCAGGGATCTCTGTACTCTTCAGAGTTAACTCCCCGTTTGCCTGGGTAGGGAATTTTCTTCTCTCTTTAGATGATCTATCCCCTTTCCTTGACCCGACTGGGAGTCTTCGCCTACTCCCCAAACTTCCTTGCCAATTTCCCCCCAATTCTCCATCTGTGTTAAACTGCTCTCCGCTAAGGCTGAAATCCGACTCAACTCAGCCAAGGCAGGAATCTGACTGACTCTCTCATCAGCATGCAGCTCCCAAGTCTCCGTCTGCTCAGGTGATGCTAACCAATCAGATCTCTTGGAGCAGCCTGTCACTCAAGGCTCCCTGGTTCTGTGAAGAACCAACACCCACAGTCCTTCATCTGTTTGTACAACACCTCTAAGCTTTTAAAAAGTGCAGTCCATCACACATGCACCCTTGAATCGCCACTCTGCCGTGGAAGCCACCTGGGTGACCCTGGGCCAGGCAATGCTCCCTCTAAGCTGTGGAGTCTTGTGAGCAAAAATTCTACTTTGCGAGCAACTGGCATTATAGTTCTGAGCGAGTGATTTGGCTACCGCATAAATGAGTTGGCTCTGGAGCCATCCTTCCTGAGCTAAGACAAAAAGGTGTGAGCCAGATGCTAAAAAAACTGTGAGCTAGCTCACACTGACTCAGCTAGCTCACACTGACTCAGCTTAGAGGGGACACTGCACAGTTACACTCTCAGCATAATTTCCCTGACAGGGTTGTCATGAACATAAAACTGGAAGAAGAGGAGGAAGAGGAGGAGGTTGGATTTATACCCTGCCCTTCAGTACCCAAAGGAGTCTCAGAGTAGCTTACAAACTCTTTTCCCTTCCCCTCCCCTGTGAGGTAGGTGGGGCTGAGAGAGCTCTGACAGAAACTGCTCTTTTTCGAGAACAGCTGTGCCAGAACTATGGCTTGCCCAAGGTCATCCAGCCAGGTGCAAGTGGAGGAGTGGGGAATCAAACCCGGTTCTCCCAAATTAGAGTCCGTGCACTTAACCAGGACACCAAACAGGAGCAGGGAAGACATCGTAAGCAATGCTCCCTCTAAGCCATGGAGTCTTTCAAGTCAAAATTCCACTTTTTGAGCTGCTGGCCTTAAAGTTGTGAGCCAGCGATTTGGCTGCCGCATACATCGGTTTGCTCCGGAGCCCTCCTTCCTGGGCTAAGACAGAAAAGGGGTGAGCTGGGGGCTAAAAACACTGTGAGCTGGCTCACACTAACTCCGCTTAGAGGGGACACTGAATGTAAGCCCCTCATGCATGCCCACTGGGGAGGAAGGCCGCACCACGTCAGACTGCAAGGCTTGGGGACAGACAGAGAACGAATGGTTTTGCGCTCTTTGTCTTAAAGGTAAAGGTCAAGGTTCCCTTGCTCGAAAGCCAGTCGAGCCCGACTCTAGGGTCGCGGTGCTCATCTCCGTTTCAAAGCCGAAGTTCCATGGTCATGTGGCCGGCATGACTAAACGCCAAGGCACACGGAACACTGTGACCTCCCCACCAAAGTGGTCCCTATTTATCTACTTGCAATTTCTTTGCTTTCGAACTGCTAGGTTGGCAGGAGCTGGAACGAGAGACGGGAGCTCACTCCGCCATGCGGCACACCCGGGTCTCGAACTGCTGAACTACCGACCTTCCACAGCCTGGGCTTAACCACTTGAGCCACCGTCTTACCTTGAGTTTCATTAAAAAAAAAAAAAAGATAGGAAAGCGTTTTTTTTTTAAAAAGGTACTGCAGCCCGAAAGGGGACAGCCCAGCCCCTCAGCCTGCTGCTTGTCTACACCCCCCACACAGACACACTTGAGAGAGAGAGAGAACAAGCACGACTGACATTCGGGGAGGACAACAGACGACCCCCCCCCCCGACA